TCGCGTGTGTTTATAAATGATATCACCGAACGGACGCAGAATTTTCACCGATCGCGATGAACGAGTGTCCCTTGATGGAGGCCACGTTCCTTGTGCGCCTATTGAGCTAGAGTTGAAGATGCTGGGAAATTTGTTTTCTGTATATATGATATACTTAAAGGGATGAACTAGCTTTTATCTTACTGTTAAATACAAATTTAAATAATTAGGTGCTACTTTTTACCCAAATACACTCAAATATTTTTAAAAATTTGAATTTCAATAAACAAATATTGAAATAAGAAAACTTAACTTTAAATTTAGATTTAGTAATTTAATCACTTGAAATTCAGTGGTAATTATTAGTCCTACTCTACCTTATAATACTGTTAATTAAAATACTTGAAGTATTGCTTGTTACTATTTTTACTTGGACTTTTTTTGGTGAAATGTCCGTCGGTCAAATGTCTCTCGGCCAAATATCTGTCGGTCAAATGTCCAGCCACGCATCATACCCTGATTCTATACTTATCCTTATATTTTATATTATATATTTATAATATACTTATATTTTATACTTATCTATATATATCCTGCTTGTTCGACATATATTTATGCTGACGAACCACTCATTGGTCACTTTGATTCTGTAAAATTTCTGTATTATAGTTAAGGAATTGCTATGCTCATCTAATCCCACATTAACATATAACCTTATCTCTCAGTCCTGTGATTCTCTTAGATGTTAGCATTCTAGCTGAATATATAATATACTTCCAATCTCATCTAATCACGCACTAATACAGCCCTATCTCTCAGTCTTGTGATTCTGTTAGACGCTGGTATTCTAGCTAAATATACAATACACTCATCTAATCTCACACTAACACATAAACTTATCTCTCAGTCCTCTGATTCTCTTAGATGTTGGTATTCTAGCTGGATATAAAATACGCTTCCAATCTTATCTCACACTAACACATAACCTTATCTCTCAGTCCTGCGATTCTGTAAGACATTTGTATTCTAGCTGAAGGTGTAATAGGCTTCCAATCACAACTAATCTGACATTAACACATAACCTTATCTCTCAGTCCTGTGATTCTGTTAGATCTTTGTATTCTAGCTGAATATACAATACGCTTCCAATCTCATCTAATCTCAGTAACACATAACCTTATCTCTCAGTCCTGTGATTCAGTGAAATATTGATATTCTAGGTGAGGAGATGATACTCTTATCTCATCTTATCTCACAGCCCTGTGATACTGTTAAATTTCTACGTTATACTTGACGTGGTAATATTCCTCGTAATCTTATCTATTCCTGTGTCGATATTATATTAAAAACATTAAAGTTAAAAACAATCTTCTGAAAAATATATTTAAGAAACTTCATCCATAAATACGTATATATAGAATGAACGTAAAGTACAATCATTCTTCTCCAATTATGTACAATCATATCTTCAAAATTATGCTAGACAGAAACATGGACAGGTTATATCATTCAGTCAGTTATATGCCATGCGGGATACACGCTGAGGCAATCATGTGTCTGACGAGGCAGGTTTTTTCCCCGCAGTCGGTTGCCATTTCTTTCTGCGGTAGACCAGTTGCCATCGAAGGCTATAGAACCCTGCTATTTACCCATAGCTGAGGGGAGAAGAGGAGGATTCGTACCTTTCCCAAGTAATTGTAATGGATTCGACTAGAATTCGAACTCGGCTTCCCGATTCCCCAATCTAAACCGCTATCCCTTACTCCACCGTACCTCCTTATATCATTTTATTCATAGATTGGTTTCTGAACAAGAGACGCTTCGGTCGCCAATATGAAAATAGTATCTATCAGTTTGAAAGACCGCGTGCTTATTTAGGGAGATAATGCATTTTATGTTGTGCAAAATATTTACTACAATAATTATTAAACAGATCAGTTTATAAATATAACTTCACACAACGCCTCAACATGAAGTAAATGTTGTTAGACTTGTAACACATTGCTAATTACTGCTATAGTGAATTCGATTATATAGTAAGTTCGATTTTAACGCAATACCCTACGTATGTGACTTTTTACTTTCTACTGCTCAGCAAACTTGACATATTTGAGAAGAATAATCCAGAACCTATACTGGCAGAAATCTGCCTGAACACAGAGAGAAAAATGAGTTCAGGAGATATACAAAAATAAAAAGGGGTGTAAGACAAGGATGTGTCTTCCCACCGGACATATCCAACCTATACAGCGAGGCGACTCTGAGAGAACTAGAAGTCCTATCTGGATTCAGTATTGGCGGCCACAATCTTAACAACATACGATATGAAGATGATACAGTGTTGATAGCAGACACAGAAAGAAAGATACAAAAACTCCTACAGAAGGCAGTGAAAGCGGGGAGAAATGTTTAAACAACAACTGCAAGACGACAAAATCCATGGTTGTTAGCAAAAGGCAACGTCCAAAGTGTGAATTACAAATTGGAGATACCAAAATCAAATAAGTACAGAAATTTAAATATCTTGTAAGTGTTCTAACAGAGGTCAGAAAGTGTGACACTGAAATCCGAAGGTGTATTGGGATCTGTCTATATTTCTGAGATGAGGTATTATGTACATTATTTACATTATTCGGACTATTGTCCTCATGGAATTGTTGTAATAAATATGGCGACAAAGATGAGGACAATAGTCCGAATAATGTGTACTGGGATAGCCAACGAAGCAATCCAAAAGCTAAGCAGCGTACTAAGAAATAGGAAAATTTCACTAGAAACAAGCAAAAGAGTACTAAACTGTTACGTGATATCTGTCCTGATGTAAGCCTGTGAGTGCTGGACAATCTCCTCAAAGCTGAAGAAGTGACTTAAAGCAACAGGAGTGTGGTTCTACAGAAGCATGCTGAGCATACTATGAACCGAACATGTGAGCAACGACGAAGTTTTAGAGAAAATGGAAACAAAAAGGAAACTTATACTGGACTTCAGGAATTGACACCTGAGGTTTCTGGGACATATAATGAGGAAAGAAGACTTGGAAAATCTGATGCTCACAGGGTAGATTAAGGACAAGAAGGACAGAGGAAAACAAAGCATAATATACTTGGGTAAATGGATGGCGGGGTAGGGTTTAGGAGAAATAACAAAAAGACATTTATTAAGAGCTATGATGGACAGGAAGTTGTGGAGAGTCATGATCGCCAACGTCCTGAGGGGAATCGGCATATAAAGAAAAAGATTTCAATTTTAACGCAATACCCTACGTATGTGGATTTTTGCTTGTTACTAGTAAGATGAAGCGATGGATTGCAAGTTATCTTCATCCAGTGCCCTACACATCTGTCTTTGTACTTCACTAAACTTATGCCATTAATGCCCACCATAGAATTCGGTATTAACTATTCTTCTCCGCCATCCATTTACCCAAGCTCACTAAGTATATTATGCCTTGTTTTCCTCTGTCCTTCTTGCCCTCAATCTGTCCTGTGAGCATCAGATTTTCCAAGTCTTCTTTCCTCATTATATGTCCCAAAAATCTCAACTGTCAATTCCTGAAGTCCAGTATAAGTTTCCTTTTTGTTTCTCCTAAGCCCAGTTCTGCCGTCCATTTACACAAGTTTGATAAGTAGGTTTTCCTCTGTCTCTCATGGCTTTAATATGTGTGAGTATCATATTTTCCAATCCCTCCTTCCTCACTAAGTAGCCAACTGTCTCTTCCTGATGTTCAGTATACGTTTCCTTTTTGTTTTCTTCGTCTCCAAAAACTGATCGTTGCTCACATGTTCGATCCATGGTACCATCAGTATCCTTAAATAGAACGACATTTCTATTGCTTCAAGTCTTTTCTTAGAGTTACAAAGAGATGAGCTGGTGGAGAACCATGATCTTGTACGTCATGAAAGGGCATTGCAGATAAAAAAATAAAAATAAAAAGATAGCCATGAAACACTTAGCCGTGTTGACTGTTGCAAGTGTAGTCAATTCGAGCCTCACCTGGTGGCACAAATTTTGAACTTGTTCCAGGCGAAATTTACTTAAATGGGCACACATGAAAAGATGTGTACAGGAGAAAATAGATATATATTAATAAATACACACAAACACACACACACACACACACACACACACACACACACACACACACACACACACATATATATATATAATCTTCTTATATATAAATATATATATTAATAAAAATATATATACCTATATATTAATAAATATACCTAGACCTAATGTATATTGATTAATATATATTTCTTAGCTCTGTCTAACCACATCGAGCACTGTTATATTTACACCTTATAGTAAATTTAGTAAATATTTATTTGCTTACCTGTGTATGTACGCTAACACGCTTATATCAAGTTATTTGATTTACACACCTCTATACCTATGGGAGAAAATAAATGTAAATTTTAGACTATTTCGCATTTGCAGCTTAAAAATCCAAAAGTTATATCTATACGCATGCACAAGATTTAGCAGGATTACGCACACACACACACACGCGCGCGCGTGCATATATATTCTCCTTTTTTACCTGCATCTTTATTTCGTCCTTTTACACTTCCTCGTAAATTTTCCTCCATGCTTCGGTCCAGCAACTTCTCTTCAATTTTTTTTTCATTCCTTGAAAAAAGACAATCTATTTACCATTTTCTTCAGTTGTTTTTTTTTTTTTTCTGAAATGCTACGCGAATTACGACATTTGTTTTTTATTTTTCAGTTCCTTTTAAAATAAAATAAAAATTTTAAAAGCCTCGGCAAAACAACAGATTTTACATCTTGCAGCAAAAAGAAAAAAGAATATCCGGGCATGTTATGCATCAACTGTTTTTTTTTTTTTTTTGTTGTTGTTTTTTTGTTATTGTTTTTTTCTCATTTTTAAGCTTTCCCTCTTTTTCCATTGATTTTCTTTTTCAGCTACTTGTACTCTTCTTCTTCTTCTCCTCCTCCCCCTTCTTCTTCTTCTTCTCCTCCTTCTTCTCCTCCTCCTCCTTCTTCTTCATCTTTTAGCCATAACGTATTGAAATACCGATTCTCGTACGATCACCGAAGTTAAGCAACATCAAGCCTGGTCAGTACCTAGATGGGTGACTGCTTGGGAATACCAGGTGCTGTAAGCATGGATGTGCGGGTGGTGTAATGGATAACAGCTCGAAATTGGAAATCGGATAGCTGAGATCCAATTCCTGTCGCATTCGTTATATTCGCTTACGCGAAAATACCATCGGGAAAGTAGGTTATGCGGTTTTCCTCTGTCTCTCATGCCTTCAATATGTCTGAGTATCAGATTTTCGCCTCTTCTTCCCCGTTATAGGTTAATTAGTAGAATGTGTGTCAGTAAAAAAAAAATGATTATTATCTCCAAAAAAATCCTACAGTCTAAAAATATGTTCTGGTTTTAAACAACCTGCAAAAGGTTAATACGCTAGAAAAAACAAATCAATTTTTTCTGTTTAAATATTGCCTTTTCTCTTTTACAATCTTCTCTTTTTTCTCTTTCTCTCCATCCCTCTTTCTTCTTACTCTTTACTTTTTTCCTTTAAGCCATTACTTTTCTCTTTCACAATTGCTTCTTATTATTATCCTCCTCCTCCTCCTCCTCCTCCTCCTTCTTTTCTCCTCCTCCTTCTTTTCTCCTCCTCCTTCTTTTCTCCTCCTCCTTTTACTTTTCTCCTCCCCCTTCTTCTTCCTCTTTCATCTTCTTCCTCTTCTACTTCTTCTTCCTTCTCTTCTTCTTCTACTCTTCCTGTTCCTCCTCCTCCTTCTTCTTTTTCTTCTTTTTCTTTTCTTTTTCTTCTTCCTCAGCTCCTCCTTCTTCTTCTCTTCCTGCTCCTGCTCCTTCGTCTTCTTCTTAATCTTATTCGTATACTTCTTATTCTTATTCTTAATCTTCTTTTTCTCCTCCTCCTCTTTCTTCTCTTCCTCCTCCTCCTCCTTCTTCTTATTCGTCATCATCATCATCATCATCATCATCATCATCATTATTATTATTATTATTATTTTTTCTTAATTTTCCCTGTTTCTCCATTAGCGTTTTTCCCTTAATCTTCTTTCTTTTCTTTTTTTCTCTTTCCTCTTTCACAAGTTTTTCTTTCTTTCTCTCGTTCTCCCTCATTCTTCTTCTTTTAAATTTCTCATATTTTCCTTTTTCAGCCTCCCTCTACTATTCTTTTTCTCGATCTTTTCTCTTTCAAGCTTCATTCTTCTTCGTTCACTCATTCATTTATTCATTCTTCTTCTAGTTTTCACGCCCTCACACTTTAAATTTCTCCTCCCCTCTCTTTCAACCTCTAATACTCTCTTTCTCAATTTTCTCTCCCTCTATTTTCTTCTCTTAATCACCCTCTTACTTCCAAATATTTCTTCTCGTCTTTCACATTAACACCTTTTATTTTTTCCTTTAGTGTTTTAGTTTTTCCCCTTTGAAATTCTACAATTTTGATGCTTCAAACTTGCGGTGACAAAACGGTTTAATTTAAAATACCTTATTATGTGTCATGAACTGTTTTTATAGAATACTTCAGAATACTTCAGGATACTTCAGGTTAATTATTTTTTTAATGTGTCAAATATTTATTTTTTATTTTTTTATATTAATTAGACTGCAAAAATTAATTTTAGCAATAAGTCGCCATAGACAGAATGAGAAATATTGGTTAACGGGGAAGATGTTTTCTAAATTAAGGGGTCGGGTGATTTTATAATTAATCAAGTTTTTACAATTACAAAACTTTAATAAATTTACTAATTGTTGTTAAAATTAATGCTACATTCAAACCCTTGGAAATCATATTTCCTGTGTGCGTCTTTCATATCATGTCGCTTTCTCTAAATAATATTCCTGTTAATAGTGATTTACGCGGTTCACTTTTTTTGCACTATATTCTCTGTCCTAGAAAAACATGGCCCGATTTTTATATTCAATTTTATCTGGCACCGCCATAAAACAATTCCTAGCACACAGTTGGGCTATAGGGGTGGGTCAGGTTTAATTCCATATCTTTTTTTTTTTTTTTTTGTCTGCCTCGTATTTTTAGAATAATCAACCTTCTACAATTCTGTCTATTTCATATATTTTTTCGGTTTTTTGTTTATTCTCGACTTTCGCTCTGCCATATTTTCTTTTCTCTTTTATCTTCAAGCGTTCTTCATCCTTTATCTCTCTTTTGTTAAAACTCCTTCTGTTTGCCTCTTTCTTTTCTTGTTCCTTTTTAGATCCCAGCTTTAGAGCAGAGCTTCTTTTATTTTTCCCGTTTTATCCGCTTAACTCAAAATAGCAATAAACATTACAGAAAATATTCATTTCTAGGAGTCCCAACATTTAAAAGAAAAATTGAATATTACTTCTCTCTGTTTCTCCTTCTAACTCTTTCTTTCTCTGCTTCTCATTCTTCATATCTATCTTTCACCCTTCCCCCCTCTCTTTCTCTATCTATCTATATATCAGTTTTAATTTTTCTCTTTATCTCTCTTGCTTTTTTTCTTAATCTCTATTTTCTTTTTCCCTTTGTTTCTCTTACTATTTTACCGTTTGTCTTTCTCTTTCTTCTTTTGAATAAAGTTTTATTGCTGCTAAATTAAACAATCCAAGTCGCCATTTTGAAAACTAACTCCATCTTTTCTTGACTGAATTTTTGGTTTAATCTCGTTGTCATTGTTTTTTACAAGGTTCCGGCCATGTAGCCTCCGGCCTTCTTCGGGTGTCTATTGTGTCGTGGAATGTTATCAAATCCTACTTTGGAGATTCGCCTTCTCCACACCACTCCTCATTTACACACAGAAATTGGATTTTTGTATGACAGGAGATAGTCACCTAAGGAAGAGTACACGGCCGTAACGTTCTGAAAAATAAACAAACAATAAAAACAAAGAAATTAGAAATCCCATAATTTTACAGACATACGCCTGATTGATACTTTCTGTACAACAATCACATGAACTCACCTTATATACCCGTCTATTAGTATTATTATTGTACGCTCCGGCCTTCTTCGGGTGATTGGAATTTCGAACCGAACTCTCTATTTCGTCCATCGGGTTAGATTGTTCTAGTTCCACATGCCATGCCTCTTCCAGATGTCTTAGTTATTTCTCTTTAACTCAACTCTCCAAGTTTTTGGTATTGAACTCACAACTCTTTGGATCCTTGTCACTGGATCAAATTAACGCCTTTATCCACTGTGTCCTTGAGGATATCTGTGCATGAATTTCTGGGACTTATAAACCTAATGTCACAGTAATCATTTTTTACCAGTGTTCATATTGCAATTTTTCCGTTATTATTATTGCTGCATAACTTACAGGAATCACCACATATGCTAGGCCACAAAAATCTTCAGAGCCGACCAAGCATAAAAATGAATACAATATAGGAACCAGTAATAAAGAGTGCTAGAGAAAAGCAATAACAACACATAATTGCAATATACGCTCTGGTAAAAAAAAAAAAATATGCAAATATTGTAAACCAGAAACCCTGAAGAGTTAAAGGGAAATAACTTAGACATCCGGAAGAGACATGGCACGGCGAACTAGAACAATCTACCCCAGTGGACGAAATAAAGGGTTCGGTTCGAAATTCCAATCACCTGAAGAAGGCCGGAGCGTACAACAGCCGAAACGTTGTGAATATGGCAAGGAAGATGAAGATAACAGTCCGAATAATGTAAATAATTTTAACGCCTTCAAAATAACATTGCTCTTTTTTAATTGTATAAGAAGAACGTTTTGCCTTCCATCAATATGTTATCAAATATCACATTATCACATTTTGATTTGTAGGAAAATAACTGCGTATGGCTTTCATTCGGAACCAATCAAAAGGTTTCCCTCCAAATTCCGAGAAGTAAATCTGGAGCCTATCTTGGTGAACAAAAGCAGAATCAGAATTGAATTCGAGGAGTCGACAGACAGTTGCTGAACCAATCCAGGTCGGCTCGGTCAAGACAAAAACAACACAGAAGAAATTTGATGATCACCAGACGAGAATTGAAAAGAACCATCAAAGTTGCTCTCACATCAAAGAAAATTCTTTGGTTGGTGTTCTTCGCTGCTACTACAAACTTTGCTTCGAATATTGTACCTATTCTTCGAAAAATACTCAGAGAAATATGTTCCCCTTTTCTTCATTTATTTTTATGTTGTTTAATTTTTCTGAGAACCTTATACAGTATTGTGATTTTTATTGTAAAATAGGCATATTTTATAAGCAGTGATTATTTTACATACATGTTATTGGCCATCATTTGGCACACAAAGCATTTAATTTGTGTAATTCTTTCATTTTTTTGTGTTAGTAAATTTATCGTCTGTTTTTTTTTTTAAACTCGGCTCGCGTGGTCTTTCTTTTTGCGTGCGCTTAAATTTTACTTCAAACGTTTGTTTGAACTATTTTTTCGTATGTTTTTTACCAATAAAAAGAAATCCTTTACTATTTCCACGGCAAATGTTCAGAAGAGCCCAGTTCCTTAGTTGCAACAGTTCATTTTTTACGGCTAGAACACGCTATACTACTTCCACAGAGTTAAACCACCCTCATTTTCCCAGTTTTTCAAATGAATCAGATAGATATTTTCCTAATAGCTATCGTTTTGTGGAAATGACTCTAGCGTGTGTACTTCCATGAACATTTCATTCTTACCTACTTCAACTCGAGTCCCAATCGTTAGCTATCCTCATAATCTTCATTTTCTAAAGATTTCTTCTCCATTCATATCACATACATCATTCATCATTACCATTTTGACTGTATCCCTCCATCTTGAGTGACTCTCGAGCAATGTACTGAATTAAATTTAGGAATGAAAAAATGTCTATTTGATTTTTTATTGTATTTTTCCAATTTTCGAAAAAGTTGTTGTAGACCTGAATGATTAAGATAAACTTTCTGTTATGGTCCAGGTTAGAACCAAGGAAGAACAACACGAACACAAGAGTAGAAATAACGAAGGTATATTATACGAAATAATAATACAATAGGTGGAAGGTGTTAGTATGACTGTCAGTCTGGTTTGGAGTGAACTACTATCGACTCGACTCGATTCGATATTTACTTGCCCCCCGCCACGAGGGAAAGATGTGGCACAAGGCCGAGTTTTACGTGGGGTTTCCGAGCCCGT